TTGCATTATCTTTATATTGGTTTTTAGGATACAACCCAAAGAAATTGTGACAGGACATGACAGATGTATCCCTTTAGAGTAACAGCAGGCTAGGCAGCAACACATCCACCGGCAATGGTGTTCTGGTGTACCTGTGCCAAATACGCTGTTCACACAGAGGTGGAAGATTCAGAGCCTACAGAGTATTGCATTTTTCCCAGAGATAAAAAATCGTAAGTGCCAAATCAAACAAACAATGGCCTAACTGCAGGTTGATAATAATGAAATTGGGAAGAGAAAACGCTTGAGAGAAAGGTATCTGAATCACAACCTTTATTGTGCCTTCTCCAAAGGAAGAACAAAACAGGACTGTCCAAAAGACAGTGCACACAGTCTGCTGAATAACAGCATGGAAGGAATGTCAGCAAAACCTTAGGTTAGTTGCCACTTTTAGAACCAGCTGTGGCTGTGCAGGTGGGGAAGGCTTACATTATTTTAGTTTAATGCAGGAAGATATGATTAGCATGGTAGCCAGGCTATTGATTTGACCTTTCTTCCAAGTCCAGTGATGCTGATCACTTCTAATAGAGTTGAGCTATGACACTGTGGTGGATGGCATCTCAAAAAACTGAATTTAGGGAGACTGTAGTCCCATGAAACTGCTTGTCTTCCACCCTCCTCGTTTTCCTGCCGCTAGAACAGTGACAGAAAAAAGCAGATGGGCTCCCTGCTCTCAAGGTGAACAGCCAGCAGCACTGCAAGAGTAACTTCAGAGAGAAGCCTCTAAAAGCTGGGTCTGGGGAACACTTGGAGAGCCAAGAAACTACAGAGGATAGAGCTGCCAAACTCTTAAAAGTCTCAACTGAGAAAATGTCAACTGAGATTTTTGAAAAGCTTTTAAAAGTTAAAGGCATTGCCCTGGCATCAGAACAATGGCTAACCACTTGTTTTATTTCTAGCTATTGCTCCAAAGCACAGACACAGAAAATCTCAATGAAAAAGTTAAAAATTATCACAATCAAACATTATTTGTTGTTAGCCTAGACTGAATTTAAGAAATGCCTGGATAGAATTTTCTTTAAAGATGTTTATAGCAAGTTAAATAGAAAATTTCAGCCCTAATGATTATTCTTTGGCAACTTTACATGTAACTGGAAAGAGAACCTTAAAATGGGAAACAAATAACTGCAATTTCAGAGGTGGTCAAAGCTCAAGAGCAACACAGGTTCTAAATAAAGAATTAATTAATGGCTGTGTTTTTCAGATACTTCAGTATTAAGAGCAAACTACTCCAAAAATGCAAAGGCCAGACTGGATGGAGCTCTGAGCAACCTTGTCTAATAAAAGATGTCTCTGCCCATCCGAGGGGATTTGGAACTAGATGATCTTTAAGATCCCTTCCAACCCAAAGCATTCTATGGTTCTATATTGCTCATGTGAAGAGAGTCATAGAAGAAAATAAACTCTCTCCAAAGCCATACCACTGAGTGTATCACAGAGTAGAAACACAGCAGACCAATACTTCCATTTCAGCTGCTGATTCTTACTCATGAAACTGTAGTTTATATACTTTGGGTAGGAAAATATGCATTGGCTTACAGACAGTGGAACATGCAGTTCAATTGGGGATGTATAATGTATTCTTCTGTCTTCAGAAACATCAGGTTTTGTTTTTTTTAAAATTTGGCTTCTTCAAAGGAAGAAGTGCCCTCTAGAACAAATATGGGCATACTATCTCTCCTGACTCTGATTCCCCCAAATTCCAAATTCAAACTTTTCATCAATGAGAAAAGGTATTTCTGGTACCAAGTGTAGATGGTACTGTGTAACGCAAGTAGTTTATTTTTAGTAACAATATTACTGCCTCTGTGGACTAAATTGATTATACTTATTTGCTGGTTTACAATTTACTCATAGCGCCTGTCTTTATGTGACAATTGTTGCCTATCTACAACTCTGTATTGCACCTGCAGGGATTCCAAACAAACAATACGAAACTCAGCTACAATTCTTTCATTCCTGAAGGAAAACATGCCATTTGATACTCAAACACTGGATCAAAAAAAAAAAAAGTGTTCACATAACTGGAAATTGGGGTAGCACGCAGAACACCATCCCCAAATGATTTGTTACCAGGATTTCAGGAGCAGGTCCCAGTTGGAAAAAACAGCTAACTGGAGGGTTCAAATCAGTAGGAAAGCCAGAGATCCCCCATCAGCTATTTGCCAATCCTACCATATGGGGCTTGTCAAAGAAAGAAAGTGGAAGGTTGTAGTGTAAATCTGCCTCGCTCATTTTCCATTGGTTTAATGTACCTTTGCATGTGAGTTGAAGCAACCTCTTGGCTGTTCTAACTCACATCCAGGCCATATTAGTGCTCTGTTCAACTCCTGATGTCTCCCAGGAACAGAACTTGGCTACTGGGGAAAACTGACCTCATAGGCTTGAAGCCCTTCCACGGTATAATTTATTGTGTTTTCCAGCACAAAGTGGAATGAAACTATTCATTATTACAAACACAGTCAAGAAATGTTCAGGACTAAGTGCAACAATTTTTAAGAAGCTTGCGGTATGGATAATGTAATTAAACTTACAAAACACCTTTCCATCTTGTCTTTTAAAAAAATCTCATATAAGCACTTAGTGCCATTAGTACAGGTACTAACATGGAATGTAAGGAAGAGTCCATAAAAATACAAAGTCTGTTTGAATGCAAACAAGTTCCAGTAAGCAGTTGCACTATGCTGCCATTTCATGTGTACTTTAAATCCCATGTATTTTACAAGTACTGCAGAAAATGCTGAGATGGCTTCAAAGTTTCTTTTTGCATACTTTAATTTCCAGCATTTAGTTAGGGTCACCTAACTTGTCAGGTGTGACAGGTGAAAAATACATTCCAAAATTTCAAATCACATAAATAAGAATTACCCTTTAGAAACTGCATAAAATAATCTGAATAGATTGCATATAAAAAAATCCCAGACATTAAAATTCAATATATCATGATATGATCTCCCTGTAATATTAAAGGCCTTACTTCATAATCTATAACTTCACAGACAAAAAATTTCTCCAACCTAAAGAAAAAAACCTGGCATGGGAAACCAGGAAATATTTCTCTCCCTAGTTTCTCTCTCTCTCTTTTTTTTTAAACTTTAAAAAAAAAATTATTTTCTTTAATGGCTGTGGACAGCATAGGAGAGAAAAGTTAGTGAATGGAATATATATGAATAAAACCACATTTGTGATATTATTAATGTAATTCCTTTGGATCTATTGAAACACACAGGCTAAGATACAGAAACAAATACAAACCCTCCATACAATGAAATGGAACAGAGTCTGAAAGGAGGCAAAATCAACACATTTGCACCCTGAAACTCTTGTTAGCTCCATGGGACAGAGTACTACAAATACAAAAAGTGCCTAGGATATTTAGTTACAGGCACATTTTGTCTCCACAACCACATTTGAAGCTTTAATAGTCTTGTCTTTGTGCCTATCATAGCAACTATTAATTTGGAAAAAAAAATACTAGTCCATGGGTACTAACACAGACTTCCCACTGGTATATTCATCAAAGTTCACAGAGAAAAAAGTGGAAGCTTCTCAGTGTGTGTTAGGATGTCGCAATCAGAAATAGCTTGTTAGTATGTCTTGAGTGCTATAACTTTATGAAACTTTCAATTACAAGAATAATTTGTTGGAAAATGCATACAAAATATCACATAAAAACCCCAATTATGAGCAACCTCAGTTCATTAAGAAATAGTAAGAAAAACGTTCAGCAAAATGAAATGTACACACTTGCAATCTTATCTGTACTACCAGATTGTTTGGAATGAATTTAATGATTTTAAAACAGATTAAGAAGAGATTAAAAAACCCACAATAGCATTATATTGACTTTTCAAAATACCTTTGTTTCTAAGGACTGCAGTAAGAAAAAATAATTATATTGACACAAGTGCTCCACCACTTAAGATTATGTCAGGTCTTCAATTACAAATTATTATTATTCTTATAACTCAACACCAAAAAAGTATTCTGTGCTGAATATTGGCCCAAGCTCTCTTCAAAAAAGTAATATGAAACACAGAAACATAATTCCACTGTTACAAATTACATACAATTTGAAATTATCATTGTGTCCAAATTGTTTACTGCATTCACAGGAACTGGCTGTTCCCAGAGGAAACTAGTTTTCTTCAGAATTTAATAGAATTTATCTCCTAATGCTTAGAAACACTTGATTTTGAGTAGGACTTGGGGTGGAGCATTCCACCTTAAACCTGCAAATCTTATCCAAAAGAGCACAAACTAATGCAAAAGGTTTTCAAATATAGATTTACCTGAAAAATCTCCCATATTTTTGCTGCTCCATGAAACACATTAAAGATATATATTAGACATAAAGAACAAAATCCTGCAGTTGAGAAAATGTCTGTTAAGACAGAAATGTTTCTGAGCTAAAGGTTAAAGGTCTTCTGAACTACATTATCCATGGTTTTTAGAGCTGAGGAACTTAACCCGTGTTAAAAAACAGACTTGTGTGAGCATGATTAAGTTGAGAATTTTTACTTTTTATATTATATTAATTTATCAGGGTAGCCTAACATCATCCCAAAACCTCCTTCAATGTTCAAGAATTGCTAAGAGGAAGCTGATGAATGCAGGAGGTGACCTACAGTAGCCTGCAGAGCAGAGCAGATCTGGGCAGCACTGTGAGGTGCTTTACAACACTGTGAGGATGCTACACATCATTTAATGGAAATCACCTGTGCTCAACATTGTTTCAAGTTACTTCAACACTGAGTACTCTTGTTGACACCTCCACAGCGTTAGCTTTCCTGCATGTGAAATAAGCATGGAGATCTTGCCTGCTCTCAGAAGGGTACTGTAAGTTATGATAACAAAGTTTCCAAAGCACTTTGAGATCCCTTGTATAAAGGTGCTGGACCAATCAGAAAGATCCTTCTGTATGCTTAATTTTTTTTTTCAGAGTACAACTCAGATCTTACTTTGCTTCCAGTGCCAGGGCAATGATGCCTGCAGCCATAGGTGCAGAGGCTGAAGTTCCAGTATGGCTGTCTGTGCAACGCTGCCTCAGGTCTGTGGTGATCTGGAAGAAATTGAATGTGTGAAATTTAGAACACAACTTCAGAAAAAGGAGCAGGTTTTATTTGCTTGTATGAGTCACATGTATGTGGAGGGTATTTTCTTCTTTCATTGCAAGGAAAGGAAAAAAAAGAGGTGTCTGAATACATGATGCTACATGTTCTCAGCTTGAAGTCACTTGTGAAGTCAGAGAGGTGTTCTCTATATTGTTCTGAAAACATAAGTCAGTCCCTGTTTTTTTCATGGAATGCTAAACAAAGAGACTTTTAAACTAGAAAAACATGCAGAGGGGTTTGAAACTGCACAGTTAGAGCTTTGCCCCTCTTGAATTTATAGAACACTTCAAGAATCTCAAAGTGCTTTACAAACAGAAATGAACTAAATCTTATAGTGCTCCCCATATACAGACTGTTTATGCCCATTTTAGAGACTATAAAAAGAGGTATGGAGGTTAACTAGGTTGTCAGAAATCACACTGGAAATAAGCAACAGAAGAGAGTACAGTTGGACTCATGCTAAGTACCGTGCTTAATCATTCCTTCATGCCTTATGCAATAAATCGCATGAAACTAAGCAGTAATTAATTGGAAAATGGTGATAGTAATCACAAATTTGGCCCAGCCATCACCAGCCCATTAGACATTTTGAGTTTTTAATTGTTATGTATTATGTATAAATAATTATATGCTGCCCTGTATTTTTTAATGTAACCTAAGTGAATGTCTACACTGTGATGTGTAATACCAACTAGAGGCACAGTCTTCTACTGAAGTTTTATGATGCTTCTATCTAATAATGAATTTTATACAGATTCTTTCTGTCAGACCGTAAATCACAACCAAGAATGTGTTTACTCTAAATCCTGCTTCTTTTATGGAACTGTTAATCTAAAGTGATTCTACTTCATGCTTGTCTTCCTGAAGAAGTGGTTCCTAGCAAGGGCAACACAGTAGAGGCAAGAAGTCACTACTACCTAACAGAAGCTCAAGCAAAACCCACACAGACTTGAGAACAGTTGTTAGAAGACAGCAGTCCACAGCACCGAAACCTCCATGAAGGTGTGAGTGACGCCAAACTTTATTCTCAGAATTTCAGTCACTGTAAGATATAAAATATCTGCCTGAGGGGCAGAGGAGAAGTTGCTTACACAATTTCTTATCTAAGCACACAGAATTATTGTGTCTTAATTCACTAGTATCATGCTCCATTTCCAACACAGATATGCACAAAGATGGGGGAGGAGAGGACTGGAGGATCAAAAAACCACAAAAAAGCACTAGGCAAGTGAAAATGCCCATCCAGCTTTGAAACCTCAAAATACACAAAATATGATCTGAAAAAATTATCTACATCCTGTCTCAGCAGAATATAAGCAAATGCGTGTAGGAGCTATAGGTTCTACACTTTACATTAGCCATATTCAGTAACATACATATTACACGATTTGTATAAGGCTGCTGAAAGTTCTCACAAAATGTAAGCATACGCAAGCTAACACAAAAGACTTCTAATAGAGAAGGAGCTAACAGCACCAAGGAAGTGATTGTTGAAAATGAGTAGTGAGCAAGTGAAAGAAAATGAAAGTTTCTAGAAATTGAAAAAGACAGATTAAAGCATTTATAATGTCAGCTCCTTAAATTAGTGAACTTGTCAGAGGCCAGATTTCTTGACTAATAAAGTCTAGAAAGAACCTTTTTTCCCCTATTATTTAATATTCTTCATAAATAATTATTTATCTGTCATCAGCTAAAAGTTGGAACCTCATAAAGAAAATACTTCTATAATTTCTTTCTCTCTTGCCTTCTTGCCTATTGTATGTGTATTAATTTAGACAATGAAAATTAACAGTGTTCGGAAAAGCCTTATCCATGCAAATACCATAAATGCCCTGACAACACTAAAAGATGAAACTGCAGCAGGAACAGCCCTAACAATGCATTGCCTATATGTGCAAATCCAAGTAGTGCTTTTGCAGGTGGGACTGACATGTTCAAGAACTAGAGGATGACATGCACCCATACAGAGATATATGCAATTCGGATATCCCATTAGGAAAAAGAGTGGCCAGTGTTGTGGTGAGGACCAGAAGGAAAGCCAGGAAAAAGAGAGGGCAGAAGAAGGGATTAACACATGCTTGTGGCTTTCATATCCTAGCACTTGTTCCCTGCATAAAAGTGGTGCAGCAGGTGCTTTCCTTGGAGGATTAGAGGATAGCAAAGCCTACAGGACCTCAGGCAGGGAAAAGTACTCTTTCAGCAGCTTTTCCCTAAAGGACAGCCTCTCTCACTACAGTGAAACACATACCAAATTTTGCTATATTCATTTCTCAGCCTCTGGGAGACCATCCTTTCAGAGTGATTTCACTGTCCTGTAACTACAGATATCAAGCACAATAATCCATGATATGTCTTTATTTGGTAACATATTCCCTTATGTTCTGAACAGATGCTGTGGCAGCAATTTGAACTACAGACCCTGATCTCTCTTTGAGCCAATATTTCAGCAGAAAATGGGTAGGGAAAGCTTTGTAAGTGGAAATCCCATTTGAGCTAATTCAAAGGAAAGTTACTGAAAGGAGCTGAGATGTTTGGGTGTAAATTACCTCCAAGATCCAAGACATGTTTTTCAGCACTGTGGATTAACTGTCAGAGAACTGTTGCATTCCTCCCAAGAAAAGTGAGTATTGGACCACCAACAGGTGAGCAAGTTTCAAGAAGAAAAACGGTGCCCCAAATTCCCAGACAACATGAGAGCAACATTATAAGCTCAATAAAAGGATGTGGTGTTTGACAGCACCATGAAGCTGTCATTAGTGTGTATTAGCAGTCATTCTGATCAACAGTGTGGGCAGAAGGAGAAATTTTTTAATCTTCTGTTGAGTATAACATGAGTGTATGCTTGAAGTACCTTTGTAACAATTGCTGATCAGGGAAAATGCTGATTAAACTGCCCAAGAAAATCCATGCAATATTTCTAGTGGCATGAGTTATATCCACTTCTAAATCAGTTGAATCAACCAGGTTTCACTGAAGACAATGACAATGTTTCTGGTACTGCCTAGTTTAATCAACATGAAATTAACAACCTCAGACAGACACACTGATGAAAGGAAGACAAAAATTATATGAATCATCACTGTATTACCTCCCATATGCAGTAGAACAAAGCTTTCAAAAAAACTAGACATTTATTAAAGGAAAAACTCTAGACAATGTAACGGTTTTATAGAAGCAATTTGGTCTGGAGAACTAAGGAGATGTCATTTCTGTATAGTCATTATTAAGGTTGTATCATCACTCTTTCCATAGTTTCACTGACTGAGAGGTTAATAACGAAGGTCAAAAATTGGATTTCCCCTAGCAGAGGACATGCTCACTTGTCCCCTCCCAAGCCTCTGCATCTCTTGCTATTTCCTATTTCATGACATGAGTTTTTGATCCAATTGAATAATCTTCTATTTTCTGCTACAGTTCTTCAAGACACGTTGATTTCTATGAATCTATGTCCCTACAAATGAAAAGGCTTACTGTTCATTTTATATAGCTTGTGTGTCCATGTATACCTAAAACTGAAGGTGCCACATGATATCCTGTGTATATCTTGTGCATACCTTGATAACCTGAGTGAGTTTCTGAAGGAGAGCAGGCTTTTGTGTTTTAAGAACTGGTAGGAGACTGGTTTGTTTTTTTTCATCATTTCAGTTTTCAGTTCTGCTTAGTGTAGTAGTTAGTGAGACTGGTTTGGTTTTTTTCATTGTTTCAGTCTTGAGTTCTGCTTAGAGTAGTAGTTAGTCAGCAAGGAAAAAATATAACTTACAGGAGAAAGAAAATCAGCAGAAAAATTGGCATGTATCACAAAACAACAAAACAGGTTATTTTCAGCAGTTAAGTCATATAATAGGCTTATGAATTATATCTGTGAGGGACTTTCATATGTAAAATCCTTCGTGCTGAAGGAAATAATTTGAAAAAGGAATTCAAAGGAAATGCATTTGTGCAATATGTTTGATAAACGAAAGAACTATATAAATAACTATATTAGGTGGTACTTAACCTATCCTAGCTACATGGTCCTGGAGTGGGGAAGCTATCTTCCAGCATTATCCTATGATATTCAAAGTGGTAGAGAAGAGAATAATAGGAATAATAGAATAATACCTTGACAACTGTATATTATTAGCCAATACTTCTGCACTCACAGAGTTATGAGAAATAACATCTATAAAGAAGTATAATTTTATAGTCTTTACCTACTGTTGATTTGCCTTTGTCCGAGACTGTGAGTTTCTACACCTATACCTATGCCAGCACTTGGCAGCTGCACTTGAAAACACTCAATTCTAATTCTTTTCTCTGAGAGTCTGCGTAAAAGGCATACATGTATCTGCATCTTTGAAATGTTTGTATGCTTTGGCCATTTCAATATATAGAAAGGGTGGAATCTTGGTCCATAAGTGGCTAATTGTTACTGCAATAAAATTCAGTACAGCATACCACCAAGTGTGCTTGGAGTACCACCCCTGAACAACAAGGAACTCCTGCAAGATGGTAACATCAGTGTGTGTTTAACTGTAATTGTTAGCTTAAAATATTTCAAGCTATTTTCAAGCAGAAGACAAAATTAGAAATCCAGACTAGGAAAACTTCTAAAATTACATCCTATATTTGTAGCAAGCAATTTTCAAAAATGGGTAGCAACGAATAAAGAAAAAAACTTTTTTGTGTGGTTATAAAAGCATGGGTGATCTATTAATCAAAATAATTTTTATAAGAATTTTTAGTCCACACAATGAGTTCCTAACGTTTGCTCACTGTTTGTTCATTTACCTTATAATACATTCTGCACATACTGGATAGAATAACACAGAAGAAAAAAAAAAGGAAGATACTCAACTAAAGAACTGCAAGGAAAGATAGGAAGGAACTGTGGAACATGATAATAGACAACCATAACCATTCACGGTCCCTCAATCTTGCATGGGTATTTCTGTACTATGACACTACAGAATCTTACATGATATTGGAGTTTGTTCTGAGTTACATGACAAAAAACAAACAAACAAACAAAACCCACAAAAACCCCCCTGACTTCTCACAGATATCTGTTGATACCATCAGTAATTTTACACTGTATCTGTCTGCAAAATGAGTGCATTCAATATACTTTCCAATATTCAACATACTAATCCTTTTAACTCACAGACACAGTGCTTTTGTCACTCAGTACTACCTGACTGGTGTGTCCAGTCTGGATGTTCAAAGTTCATAACATGAAAGAGAGTTTATAAGAAAACATATGTTACATAGAATGATGCAAGACAGTTATTAAAAGTTATTAAAAGTGATTAATCATTCAGGCTACGTGGGCAGAGAGAAGACAGTAGACAACTGGAGTGGTTTTCATACTAGCAATAAAATCAGTGACACCAAATGCTAAGAAATTGAAGTTAGAGGAGCTCAGAGAACAAATGAAAATTTTTTTAATGGCAATGGGTTATTAAAACCACTTGCCCTAAATTTAAGTGGATTTTCTGTCACTGAAAACTTTGAAAGCAAGATTGATTGTATTTGTGAAAATTATTGTTGAGTTGATAGCAACTGCTGGATTTGACGAACTCAGGGAAGTCCTACAGACCTGGCTAAGTAAGAGCTCAGGGTGGAGGAATGCAATCACTTCAGTTCACCTTACACTGTATTACGATCACTTAAACATGAAGATGTTAGTGAAAGTCTTTTAAAGGACAGTGAAGGGAATTTAATCACAGAAGTGAGAACTCCTAGGAGATATAGTAATTTTTTTTCTTTATTACTATTTATCAAGGAGAACAAGAAACACGCCAGGAAGAGAAAGATAAGGTTTCAGCGAAGAGAAGCAAGTAATGAACAGAAAAATTACTGGAACAAAGTACCTCAGAACAAGTTTAAAACAAAAATTAGATAATATGAAAATAAGGAAGAATCCAAGAACAGATGGCCAGCATCCCAGAATCCTTGAAAGACAAGGCAGATAGTATTAACAAAACATAGTGGCAAATATTTTTAACTCTTCTCTGACACCAAGAGAGGAATCTGCTAAGGACCAGAAATAAGGCAATGTTAGAGGAGTACTTAAGAAAACATATGGGAAAAAAACCCCCCTTCAAATCCCTCAATCTTCTGAAGTAATTAAGTTCTGTAAGTTAAACACTAGAATAAATAAGCAGGGAAGAGGAAAACATTAGCAAACCTCATTTACCTCATTACAAGTGTTTAAAAGGTTAAAAGGATTAGTATGTTGAAAACTGAAAAGTATATTGAATGTGCTCATTTTGCAAAGGCAGATACAGTGTACAAATACTAATGGTATCAACAGATTATCAAATATAATTAAAACAATTTGCCGTTTTCCAGCAAAGATGAGTACATTAGGGAAACTGGATGCTGGCTGCTTAGGAATGAGATGAGGAACAACACAGGAAAGATGAGCACTGAGTTAATTTTCCTTACAATATATTTTTGCCAGAATAAACAGCAACATGGTGGATTCACCATCCCTGGAGGTTTTTAAAAAGAGATTGGACGTGGCCCTTAGTGCCATGATATAGTAATTGGAGTTGGATCAGGGGTTGGACTTGATGATCTTGGAGGTCTCTTCCAACCCTACCTATTCTATGATTCTATGATTCTATGAGTAAATTACCATCACTGAATGTAAAAGAGGAATGATGCTGGATCAAAATAAATCTGAGAAAATAGAGGTGTATGTAGACAAACTGTTAATATGAGTGTAAAATCTGAAAACTATTGATAACTGGATTTAAAACAGAGGATATTATTACAAATTATTTCTCTTTCTCTCTCTCCCTCCAAAGTCACTGAACAAACATAAACACATACACATTAAAGAAAATAATTAAACCCCATACTATTTTCCTGTCATAGGATTCCCCGCTGCTGTATGTTGTAGCCAGAGTGGATGCACATTCTTCCAGATACCATGGCTTCTTCCCACTTTCAGCTGTGCTGCTTATTGAAATAGTGTAGATGCTATTGGTGTAGCCATCACAGGAGCAGTGGTCTCGACTTCTTCCACCATTTCCAGATGCCCAAACAAAAACTGAACCTAAGCCTCTTCGACCCTGTTCAGAAACAGTAAAAAAGATTTGATCAATAATTCTCTTCCCTCTCAACTGCTTAATAGACAGGTCGTTTCCCCCAAAAAGGCATCTCATGAGAAAAAAAAAATAAGCAATTTCACTGAGAAGAATCGGAAATGAAAACAGGATTTAGCAGAGTTCAGAATCAGACATTAGAAAAATTCAGAAAATGAGTGGTATGAACACAGCTTTACAAGCAACTTTTATACAGTGTTTGTTTGTTGGTCTGCATCTATGCTATTCCAATGTACCGTGAAAGAGGTGCTGAAAACTCAGATGAAGCATTAGAATATCATACTGTGTTGCAAAAAGGAAAATAAATACCATACTTGAAACAAAACCTCTTCATGATACTTCTTATTTATTAGGATGCTCTCAGCTGTTTCTTCTTGGGTTGCCTGAGGCACTGGGTTTTTTGGGTAACATTATATACTGTGAACCACAGCACCATTTTTTCACACACACTATAAATCACAGAATCACAGAACACCTGAGGTGGGAAGGGACCTCAGGTACCTAGTCCAACCCATCTAGTCCATTATGACCGCTAAATGCACAACACAACATATAAACAAAACTAGACAAAACTAATTCTTATAAATCTATTCTAATGAAGCACTAGATCATTAGTTCAGCATGTTATTTCAAACATATGACTAGCTGGACAAGTTAATTAGGCATATTCATAATTTAAAATAGGTAACCTCCCCTTGACATTTTCTTAATATACAAAGTTATATAGTGTCCAAATGAATCAAAACATTTTAGTGGTGCTAATACTCTTACACAGGTATTGACATGAAAAGTGAAGGCGATCAGTAACATGTATCGTTGATATATGGTTAGTTATTTATATTTACATATTTCCTTATTTATATTTACATATTTCATGCCAGTGAATGAAATTCAGATTCATGCAACTGTATGATTAATTATCAGCACTAACTTATTTTTGATTAAGCTAAATAGTGTCACCCTTTCTTACAAGACACTCTTGCAAAGCACGGTACATCTACAAGTGTGCTAACAGTCTCACCTATACCTCATGTGCTTGCAACTCATCATGTTGCATCTGCCTGGCTTTTGGATACGCCCACCACTATGGGCCCATGATAAAATAAGGCATAAAACAACTTTTTGCACAAATCACAGATTAATTCTATCTAAATGCTCAGAGGGGTTTTGCTAAGGCTTTTTGTGCTGAGCATAACTGAACTGACATTAATGTAAGACAAAAAACTGTCACAACTCACAGTCAAGGCTCAAGTTCTCAAACACAGACAAATTTATTAATCTAGTATTAATGTCCCCATTAAGGGACATTAAAGATCTTCAAGTCCCAGCCTCTCTCCAATGGACAGAGACACCTTTCACTGGACCAGGTTACTCAGAGCCCTATCCAGTCTGGTCTTGAACACTTCCATGGATGGGATGTCCACAACTTCTCTGAACAACCTGTTCAGTGCCTCACCCCCCTCACAGTAAATAATTTTTTCTTAATATTTAATCTAAACCTACTGTCTTTCAGTTTGAAACCATTCCACCTTGTCCTGTCACTACGTGCTCTCGTAAAAACTCCCTCTTCATTTTTTTTCAGGCTGCAACTAGGTCACCTTCTCTTTTTCAGGCTGAACAAAACCAACTTTCTCAGCTTTTCCTCAAAGGAGATGTGCTTCATCCCTCTAATCATCTTAGTGGCCTTCCCCCTGGACTTGCTTCCTGTACTGGGGGCCTAGAGCTGGATGCAGCACTCCAGGTGGGGCTTCACTAGAGTGGAGGAGAGGAACAGAATCACCTCTCTTGACCTGCTGGCCACACGGCTGTTTATGCAGCCCAGGATATAGCTGGTTTTCTGGGCTGCAAGTGTACAGTGCTGGCTCATGTCCAGCCTCTCATCCACCTGCACCCCCAAATCCTTCTTAGCAGGGCTGCTTTCAATCTGTTCATCCCCCAGCCTGTATTGACATGCTGCACCCTCACCTAGGTACAGCACTTTGCACTTGGTCTTACTAAACCTCATGACATTCCCATCAGCCCATTTCTTGAGCTTGTCCACATGCCTCTGAATGGCATCCTGTTGTTCAGGTGTTTCAACTGTACCACTCAGCTTGGCGCCATTTGCACGTATGCTGAAGGTGCACTTGATCCCTTATGTCTTATAATGAAGATATTAAAAAACACTGGTCCCAATACATATGAACCCCTGAGGAACACCACTTGTCACTGATGTCCATCATGATTCTGAGTCATTGACCACTATCCTGTGGATGTGACTGTCCAAACACTTTCTTATCCACCTAAGAGTCATCAAATCCATCTCTCTCCAATTTAGAGAGAAGGATGCTGGGGGGGACCAGGCCAAAGGCATTACAGAAGTCGTGGTAAATGACATCTGTAACCCTTCTCTTGTCCACTGATGTAGTCACTCAATAGTGATGCAGTCACTTAGTCACCTATGTACACACCTAGGTGGTCACTAGGTTGGTCAGGCAGGACTTGCCCTTTGTGAAGCCATGTTGGCTGTCCCGAATCACCTCTCTGTCCTGCATGTGCCTCAGCATTGTTTCTAGGAGGATCTGTTCCATAATCTTCTCAGGCACAGAAGTGAGGCTGACAGGTCAGTAGTTCCGAGACTCCTCCTTTCTACCCTTTTTAAAGATGGGTACAATGTTTCCCTTTTTCCAGTCACCTGGGCCTTCACCTGACAGCCATGACTTTTCAAATATCATGGAGATAATTTGTGAGTTTAGTGAAAGTATAATACCTGGAGAGACTATTCTTTCGAGCAAACTAAGTTAAATAGCAACTTCTCCTGGTTGTATTTACATAAGGTTATGTCTCTAAATGCAAATTTTCATTAAAAAAAACATTTCAAGCAGTGAAAAAAATCTCAGAATGCCAAGTTATACGTACGATGAAATCCACATTCTTCAGACAAAATCAATCAGAATATTTCATTGTTTTTCATTTCCTTTAGTTAGTCTTGGCTACTGCATCAACAAAAGTTGCAAAATAGCAACACTTTTTGTGGTTTTTTAATTTTTTTTAAGACAACGTTGATGAAATGTTACAGCTCTACTTCCCAACATTATGAACTCTTGTCAAATCAAAACCCTCTTTCCATTTGGGGTTCTCCCTGCTTTTTCCAGCTAGCAGGGTTGAATTCAGAGCCTCCCAAAGCCAGTGGGATGTGATTTGCAACTGCATGGGCCTCTTTTATGAACCACTTTTCTTTCATTCTACAATGAATGGTCATACCCCTTTGCAAATCTTACACTACCATTCTGAAAACATTTGATGAAACAGACTAAAGGAAGGGTAAATGGAAAAATTATTTCACACATATTCACCAATTTATTACACCAGCAGGTCAGGGAGAGAGAAGACAGGCCTCTCTGATGTTTGTGGGGAATAGGATGGAGGATTACCCTAATAATATATTGGTTTGTTACTTTTTTATGTGATCCTGCTTGATTTTTACTGGTTTTGTTTTGGTTCCATCCCATCACCTCTTGAAATTAAATCATGCTTCCCAGCAGTATGCAATTATTTGCTTTCATCTTCTGTCTCCTCAATGGAAATGGTAATTTGTGGCTTGCCCATCAATTCTTCCATCTGTTTCAGAGTCAGGAACGGATTTCTGTCTGGTCTTGCTCCCTTAAAAACCAACTCTCTCCTACATACGCTCCACCCAAAAAAGTCAGTATATATACATACACAGTTAGAATACACAGAAAAAAGCTTACCATACAGCCACACTGTTACCTTCAGAACACGTCAGAATATTCCATCAAAACCTTTTAAAATGAATTTTCAGAAGTATCTGCTATTTGGAGATTTTTACATATTTTTACTTTTTTTTTTTCTTCACATGCACGTCTTGAAAGCAGTATTAGGTAATTACTTTGGCCAAATCAATACCCCATGGGAAATTCAGAATAACCCACCAATACAACCAAGAGAGATGAAATGAGAATTCGGGGTAATCCAATCCCAAATTCCACTTTTTTAAAAAAAGAAAGGTTTTGCAAAAGAAGTTATCAAAAAGATATTCACACAGAAAAACATCCTACCAACAACAGTCCATCTGTCATTTTTCTGCTGTCACTATCAGCTGGTCATGTATGCAAACAGCAATATAACATGACTTGCCCCATTCATGCAATGAAAATCTTTTCACTGTAGGATATGACTCTACTTAGCGAAAATTTTGCAGATTTAACCCCCGAATTATTAGCTTGTCTGCATAGAGAATGTACCTCTATTTCTTTAGATGCATACTTATGCTGCTGTGCTATTAGTGAACAACGAGCTGTAGAAACAGGTATGTGAATTGGCCACAAAATGTCATCCTGATGAAAACATGCCCATGGATCTTAGAAATTCTGTGATTGAGTATTTAAAAAAAATAAACATCAATTTAGATTTTAATAATAATGGTAGGGCTTTAAAAATAACAGCCGTTTGCACCTGAATTTACCTTCTCATGCTAAGTTTTTTTGGTAAACAAATTATAGCAAATATTTCTTTAAAACTAATGTGTCCTGCAAATACGTAAAGGATCAATGTCTCTTTTATTGCAATAAAAAGAAAGTATCAGGTGCACTGACTAATGGAAACGAGTATTTTCTAATATATACAGAGAAAGAATTCCCAGTCCTCTTTTTCATGGCTAGGCTTCGCGAACGAAGATTTGGGAAGGGCTCTACCCACATTTGCTACAAGCGTGCTGGTGGCTAAAGAGGCCAATGCAAGATATACAAATCCGGTTGAAAAAGGTACAGCAGAAGGACTCCTTGGATGGTATCGGCAAGACACGATTCTTTCTGCGTTGTCTTTTCTCCTCCAGAATGATCCTGCATGCGTTCTCAAAAGAAGCTGCAGCATTATAGATAGTGTGTCTCCAGAGATCCTGACTAGAGGCCAGAGTAGACCAGTGATGAAAATCAATATGGTCAAGGCTGAGATGTTGTTTCAGGGAG